TTAACCTGTTAACACAAAGTGTCCCAAGATCCATCCCTCTGCTTTCTTCTCCATAAGCAGTTTCTTGGTGATGCTTTCCAATGTTACGATTTTAAATACTTGGTTTATGTTCATGACTCCAAATTTCTATCTCCAGATCACTTTTTGAACTCTAAATATTTTATCTAATGTCCTTTTAACATTTGTACTTGGAAGTCTAATAGCCATCTTAATGCATATCCAAAACTAAACTCTTTTTGTTTAGACACAATATCTTTTTTTTCTTTTTAGAGACAGAGGAGAGAGAGAGAGAGAGAGAGAGAGAGAATTTTTAGTAGTTATTTTTCAGTTTTCGATGGACACAACATCTTTATTTTACGTGGTGCTGAGGATCGAACCCAGCGCCCCGCACATGCCAGGCGAGCGCATTACCGCTTGAGCCACATCCCCAGCCCCAATATCTTTATTTATTTTATGTGATGCCAAAGATTGAACCCAGTGCCTCACGAATATGAGACAAGTGCTCCACCACTCTGAGCTACAACCCCAGCCCCAAAACTAAACTATTGATCTTTCTTGACAAATCTACTCATCTTCAACATTATATTATTAAGGGCTTGCTGGAGAAACAGAAAAGGACATACATCTATATTTACCTATCTACATCTATAGATATGAGGAGATTCCGTATAGGAATTGGCTTGTGTAGTTACAAAGGCCAAGAAGTCCTACAATCTGTCATCTGCAAACTGGAGAACAGAAAAAATGGTTGTGTAAGTCTTGAGTTCAAGAGCCTTAGAATAAGGTCTGATGGTATAAGTTCTGGCCTAAGTCGGAAAGCCTGGCAACTGGGAGCAGCAATGTCAGAAGACAGATGTCTTAGCTCAAGCAGAGAACAAATCCAATCTTCTGACACCCTTTTGTCTACTCTAGTCTTCCACAGAATTGGATGATGTCAGTCCACATTGGTGAGAAATATATATATATATATATATATATATACACACACACATACACATATATTTATTTCTCACTAGTAACCAGTAAATACAAATTAATATACCATTTCATATCTATCAGCTTGATAAAAACAAGAAAAGTTATAACAATTACAGTGACATACAGTGAGAATGTAGAGAAATGGGACTTCTCATTGTTGAGTAACCTGGCATAATGACTTTAAAGAACAATTTAAAAATTTCTTGAAAAGTTGAATACGCACATATCCTATGACAGAAAAGTTCCTTTTCCTAGTATATATCCAGACAAACTTTTGCAATGGGTGTAAGAATTTGTGTGCTTTTTTTTTTCAAATTGGTTTGCAATATGAAAAAAATGGAAACATTATTATCCATTGGATTAGTTTATTCTTATCATGAATAAAATGTAAAAGTGAAAGAGCTGTTCATGCAACAATAAAGACAAGTTTCTGGAACAATATATCAAAAAAGATGCAGAATACATAGAACATAACACCACTCATTTGCATTTTAAAACCACGATAGCATTTTTTTGTTAATACAGAAATTTCCATATATGATATATCCAAGTACACATTAGTATTTCTTTTAGCTCTTTATGAATTGAATATGTACATTTTAAGTTTTGATGTCAAACCTTTCAAAAAGGCCCTCTAATTAACATGCCTTTGAAGATAGTGCCCATTTCCCCCCCCACACTTTACTCTTTACAAATATAGAGTATAATTTCTTCTTTAAATTGTAACAATTTGAAAGTATTTTAATTTACATTCACTAGAGACCATATTTTGTTTTGTTTTGTTTTTGTACCAGGGATTGAACCCAGGGGCTTTCAACCACTGAGCTACATCCCCAGCCCTTTTTATGTTTTGAAACAGAGCTGCTTAGGGCCTCACTAAGTTGCTTAGGCTAGCTTAGAACTTGCAATCCTCCTGCCGCAGCTTCCAGCACTGCTGGGATGACAGGTGTGTGCCACCACACCCAGTAAGACAATATTTTTTGTTTTCTATTTATTTATATAATTTTCCTGTTTTGCACTGAGTTACATTTTGCTAATGGATTACTAGAAGCACCTTTTTTTTCTTAACTACTTTAATCATTATAGAAGAGGCTTATAATTTTCTCTACAGTCTATAGTGGCTTCCACAGAACACACAAGTTTTACATTTTTATGTAGACATATATCAATCTGTTGGGATTTCAAGATTAAATTTTAAAGAATTGTCATTACAATTTTCAGTTGTACCAACTAGAACAACATAGTATCTCTCATTTTTTAAGCGTTACAGTTTTTTTTTCAGTCTATTCCTAAGTATAGTTTGCTACTTTAAATAAGATCTTTTTTTCCCCCACTGTATTTCTAGTTACAGCTGATAAATAAAGCTATATTAATTTTGATTTATCCACTTTTGAAATTTCCATTTGTTTACACTTGCATTTAAGTTATTTTCCATAAAACTTATTTGCCTTGTTGATGAGTATAGAAATTCCATCTATTCTTAATTGTGTGCTTTCCAGACACTGTAATGATATTGAAAGATCCTTCTACAGGAAAAATGAGAACCAACTTAAGTGTGACTCAGCCCTTAATTTTAATATTCTGGATTAGATGTTATACAAACTACCTGCCATATTCTCCCTAAATTTAAATCTTCAGTGAAGGAGTCTTAGCTACCTATGCTTGCCAAATCTGATTCTCCTACCATCCACCTTTTCTAACTTCAAGATTACAAACTCCTGCTGGGCCTTTGAGCCTAGGTTATCTCCAACTGGAATGCATACGATCCATTATCACTGTTTCAATAATCAAAGTGGAAAATTAGATTTGGGCCACAAAAATCCAGTGGGAACATGAGAAACTTTAAAAGATTTAGTTAAATGTTGGCATTGTGTAAGAGAGAAGGTAGGGGGCTGGAGATGTGGCTCAAGTGGTAGCGCGCTCGCCTGGCATGTGTGTGGCCCAGGTTCGATCCTCAGCACCACATATAAATGAAGATGTTGTGTCCACCGAAAACTAAAAAAATAAATATTAAAAAAAAGAATTCTCTCTCTCTCCCCCTTTCTCTCTCTTAAAGAAAGAGAGAGAGAGAGAGAAGGTAGGTGCCTAGATAATCATTCTCAAAGTTTTTACAAAGGGTTTACAAAATAAACACTACATAAGTATAGTAATTTATACTCTCTAGAATCCTGACTCTTGCCCTTTGTTTTACAACAGACCAAGAACTCATAAACCATTTTGTTATTTAATGAAATTATTAAACAACTCATTAAAATTTATTTGAAATATGCATATGTTATCTAAGGAAAGGGTGCCAAATCTTTCAAAATTCTGTGACAGTCAAGCCTATTGTTGATATGTTGATATACTTCACAGGAACTTTATAATCTTGAGGAATTAAAGTACAATTTTCTACCTACCTATTTCTATTATATGCATATTTTAAAGAAAATCTCTAAGCAATAAGCTTTAACAAAATAAAAATACAATTATTAATCTTTACTACTAATGATGACTAGTTTATAAAAAAGTTTGATGAGATACTTAAATGAATGTAATAATGAAAACAATTCAATTTCTTAAAAGTCTTGAGCTTCTACACGTTTAATGGTACTGAAAAATTATAGTATATTATACATAATATATATAATTCTATTCACATAGTAAAAATTAAATACAAAGATGAAAAGTTATGAATCTTTTGACGTGTATAATTCATTTCACAGATTACTAACTTATCTCCTCAAAAGTATTAGGATGCGCTAGGTGTGGCGGTGCATGCCTGCACCCCAGGAGTTTGGGAGGCTGAGTCAGGAATACTGTAAATTCAAAGCCAGCCTTAGCAACTTAGTGAGGGCCTAAGCAACTTTGCAAAACCCTGTCTATAAAAAGGGCTGGGAGTGTGGCTCAGTGGTTAGGCATTTGGGTTCAATCCCTGGCACCAAAAAAAAAGATTTAAGATGCATAAAGGGTGATCTCTGGTTTAATACTGAGTGTACTACATCTAAATAATTTTGATAATTTTTTGATTTTCTAAAATTTAATTTGTTTTCCAATTTGACATTTTATATCCTGTATAGATATACCAATGTTTTGCTAACAAATAAACTTGCATTGAGAATCTTGTAAAAAATGTAAAACACTGTATCATCATCAAATGGAGAATGTTCACTATCAAGTTGGAGAGAACACACTATTCATTGAGAAAGGGAATGATAAAGATACACAGATAAATGAGAAACAAGAAGAATGTTAATACAATTTTATAGCTTCTAGCATTAGATGGTAGGGCCTTTTGTGATTCTTCAGTCTCATCCCAAGGATGGGACATGTAGAAGAAGAAAAGTCATTTAAGTTTTATTGATTTAAGCAAAGTGAATATAGCCATATGTTACATTTGCACAGTAAAGTCAACTGTGGTCTAAATATAGCTAATTCTAGTAAGGCCATACCCAGTTTGATTGAGCCCACCATTTCATTAAAACAATTAGGGTTTCTTTATTCCATGGTGACTCTAAGTGATTTTGAGGTTTTACTCATCTGTCTTTAGAAGACTGATTAAAAATGTCTTTATAAGGACACTGAGAACCTCTCTATTGTCTAAAAAAAAAAAAGCTATAATTATTTATTAGTTTCAGAAATAATTCCAGTATTCAGGAAACAAAGAATACCCTCTGTGGAGAGCTGTGACTCTTTTGGCCATTTTAATAATTTGGATACTAAACATTAATTTAATCTAATAATTTACATCTAATTAAATTTCCCATGGGAGGAAAACTTACAACTTTTCAAAACATGAAATTTTCAAATAACTTTGGTAAGAACACTTATAAAGGTCTAAAAGAAGTGAATTTGATATACCTCCCTAAGTTTTACTTTATAAAGTTTGATTTTCAATGAAAATAAATTATCTTCTCTAATGTCCTTTAAAAATACTTAACTATAGGGCTGAGGATATAGCTCAGTGGCAGAGCAATTACCTAGCATGAATAGACCATGGGTATAATCCCCAGCACCACAAAAACCAAAACCAAAACCAAAACTATGTTCTGTAGTTCTTAGCAATGTCCTTTTAATGTAGAATTAAATTATGATGTTACTCTTTAATTCATTCATTTTCAATATTTCCAGGACTTTTGCCAGTTACACATTTTATAGTTAAAATGTACAAAGTCTTGTTTTATCCTAGAAAATTCACAGCTTCTGAGTTGGTGTATCACAGTATGGTACATTTTCTAGAAGAAGATCTTTCCTAGGGACCAATTCTAAAAGAAAAACAGAGAGAATAATTAAAATTATTAAAATTAGAATTATAATTATATAGTCATTATATTAGAATTAAATGTAAATATAGTCATTTCCCCCTAAAATGTATAGTAAAATATTTAGTGTTAAGATAATCTTCTGGAATGGTCCTTACCTTAAGTCACTTCTTAGAGCAATGAAAAACAATACGCTTCAGTGACTAAATGCATCTGGCAGTATGATAAAATTTTAAGGGCACTGATTTTATTTCACATTAGAGATGAGAAGACTCTTGCTTGTATTTTTTGTTTTAGTTTTAGAGGATGGGACCAATTGGCATTTTCTCTTAAAGAGCCTTGCAGAACTCTTAATCAATTAGGTTTTAGGCTGCAAAGAATACCCCTTAACTAACAGTTCAATCCATCTTGCTTTGCAGATGAACTAGTAAATCTGCACTCATTTTCTTTTTCAGTACCTTGTTGAAAGCAGGAAGAACTAACCAGCATGCACTGACATTCTGGCAATTTCTCTTAGCTGTAGCCTCAGGTAGTACTTGGTTTGTGTCCTAAGAAATAGAAAGAGGCCCTGACCTTATGTTTTACCACTAAATGGGTCACAAGCTTGAAGCCTATAGTGGTCAGGTCCATGATAATCATACTCCCTTCTACCCTTACTTTTCACTCTCTACTTTCGCATTTTAAGTTATGTAATCTTCAGTACCTCACTTCTGTTGGTTTTAAACACAAGTGGACTAGGACTTATTAAGCAGAAAAAAACCAAAAACATTATTAATAGGTTTTTCATCTATTCATGGCATTGTTGTGAGGGCTAAAGAATCTGACAGGTTTGAGACTGTTTTCAGAAAAACAGCAAAACCATACCCTAGAACTGGCCAATGATTAAAAACTGCCACTCCAATGGAGCACTAGAAGTAACTGCCACCATTTTTAACCTTATGAAACACAATGTGCTATACTTCAGATGCTGCCAGAAACAACATTCCTACATCTCCCCTGCCACCAAATCCATGCCACTTTCCCATGAGGACCTGATCCTATAACCACTAATGCTACTCCTGCCAGTAAAAGAGATCTCTGCCAAGCCTCTGCCCTCAAGGTCATTTCTTTTGTTTGTTTGTTGGGGATTGAACCAAGGGCCTCATGCATATGAGGCAAACCTTCTGTCTCTGAACTACACCGCTAGCCCCTCAAGTCCACTGCTGAACATGGGTAGGTGTGAGCTATCTATATCAAATGCTTGTGTCAGAAATGCAAAGGAAACTGAGGAACTGAATTTTCTTTATTCTATCTTGAGGATCTAGAACTTATGCAGATGAAAATTCCTAAGACAAAGGAAGACATTCAAAGAGTGGTAAATAACCAGAAAGCCTCTCGAATATCCACTACTCTATCCCTTCACTCAATTCTTCTTATTGTGTGATCTTTGGAATCAAAGGATACTCTATAATTGAATTTTTCTGTATTCATTAACTGCTAACACTTTAATTAGGCCAAACATACCACAGGTGTATTTACATAGTATATACTATTTTTCTATAATTTTATTTTATTGATTGTAAAATCTCTGACTTTGCTCTCTATGTTAGATGCCAAATACTATTAACCACATGAATCTATTTGACATTGCCAGATCTTTGATAAGGAACTGCACTGAGATCATGGTTTATTTCCTGTACTTTATAGGACCCTGAAAGCCTTATCTACTTTGGTCATATTATATGCATAATTTACAAAGTACTTCTTTTGAAATAAAAAGGCTTTAGCTCGATTATAGACCAAAATCAAAATTAAGGGCAGGAGTTTTAAAAAAAATCTATTATGGGTAGCATTGTTTATAAGAGTATGGCAATCAGAGAGACACTTTGAATATCAATAATTTATAAGATGTTAAAATATTTAACTCTGAAGTTACAGAAATGTTGTTAGATATATCAAGAACATAAATATAAATGATAAGCTGAAATTAGAGGCTGGGATTGTAGCTCAGTGGTGGAGCACTTGTCTCGCATGTGTGAGGCACCAGATTCGATCCTCAGCACCCACATAAAAATAAGTAAATAAATAAAAGTATTGTGTCCATCTACAACTAAAAATATTTTTTAAAAAAAGGCGGGGGTGCTGGGGAGACAGCTCAGTGGTAAAGCACCTGCCCAGCATGCATAAGGCCCTAAGTGCAATCTCTATCACCACACAAAAAATAAACAACAATAAAAAATAATATTTAAAAAAGAAGTTAGAGAACTTTAGAAAACTAAGTGTTTTCTTCCAAAAATCTATCCTTGCATATGGATCTGCTTATGTGCCTCTCTTACAGCATTGAAGGACTGAAGGAACATTTAAGAGCATTCTCCATAAATTCTAGTGCCCAGCACAAAGAGGATTCAATAAGTGTTTACTGAATCACATAAATTTGCCTCTAAATACAAATTCTAAGATAGTTGTAGGTAATGACAAATGTAAATAAATGAAAAGGCAGAAATTTAAAAACACATTTGAAAAAAGATTGCTTTTTTTGTGTGTGTGTGGTACTGGGGATTTATCCCAGGAGTGTTCTACCACTGAGTCACTTCCCCAGCCCATTTTATTTGTTTTTTATTTTGACACAGGGTCTCAAAATAAAAAAGTTGCTTAAAGCCTTGCTAAGATGCTGAGGCTGGCTTTGAACTTGCAATCCTCCTGCCTCAGCCTCCTAAGTTACATTACAGGCATGGTCCACTGTGTCTGGCTTCTAGTGCATTTGAAAAAAAATGTATCATACCAATTTTCAAAGCACATTCCCATTTTGTTTGTCTTACATATATGCCACAGAAGAAGTTAAAAAGTATAGATGATCTTATTCAAAAACTATATACCAGGAGCTGGGGATATAGCTCAGTTGGTAGAGTACTTGCACAGGGCCCTGGGTTCAATCCCCAGTACCACAAACAAAAACAAAAACAAAACTATATACCATTAATATATAGTCACATGAAGTTCTGAGTTTTCTTGATACAATTTTTATGCATAAATTTGGTAACTATCTATAGAATGTATGATGGATAAAGGTCAATTCTAAAACCATTTGACTAATATCCATGTTTCGTCAATAATCAAAGAGAAAGCAATTGTGGAACAATGAGTTAATTTCAGTATTTTTCTAAGTCATAGTTAAAGGCTCTGCTAGACCAATGATGAGAAGGGTATGAATCAAATGTTATGATTAATTCAAATTCGTGCAATTAAGATGATACGGAAAAAAAAAATCACAAAAACTAGCCAGTACTTGGGGAAAATAAGCAGTTTCCACAATATTTTTAAAAGATTTTTTTTAAATAAGAAAATTTTCCCAAAATGATTAAATTGTCATGTCTATAATAAAGAACTTTGAAATCACACACCATGATAAAGGAAGTTAGTTTTTTTTTTTTTTTAGAGAATTTTTAATACTTATTTTTAGCTATCGGCAGGCACAACATCTTTGTTTGATGTGGTGCTGAGGATCGAACCCGGGCCGCACGCATGCCAGGCGAGCGCGCTATCATTTGAGCCACATCCCCAGCCCTGGAAGTTAGTATTTAAGAAAGAAAAAAATTACAAATTATATAAGATAAGGAGTTCTTGCTGAGTGAAATTCAATATTTAATTTTCAGTACAGATATTATTTGGAATGGAAGGAAAAGAGAAATTTAGAATTCATGCACAATTGCAAAAATGCAGTTTCATTTTATTATTTTCACTCTCTATTACCTTCATGTTGAGATATATAGATGTATATACATACACATCTAGAGAGATTCATAATCACAATTCTCAGTTTTCTAAACAAGAAGCAGAATTTTATTTCTCATTTTTATATGCAGGATAGACACTGGTAAAATATTCAGAGGAATTTGCCTAACATAACTTAATGGAATCAAATCTGTTCCATTTTGAACCTACAGAATAAAGGAGGAAAAAAAAAAAAAAAACATGGCAGGCACAGTGGTGCATGCCCGGTGCCTCAGGAGGCTGACACAGGAGGATAGCAAATTCAAAGCTGGCCTCAGCAACTTAGCAAGCTGCTAAACAACTCAGTGAGACCCTGTCTCTAAATAATTTACAAAAAAGGGCTGGGGATGTGGCTCAGTGGATAAGCGCCCCTGGGTTCAATAACCCCTATACAAAAAAAAAAAAACCAACAAACTATGGTGTTGAAAGTCAGGATAATGACTACCCTTGTGGGAAGAAGGTTACTAGAAAAAACATGAGGATATGAAGAGACTTTTGGGATGCTGTAATATACAGCTTGATGTGGATGTTAGGTCTTTCACTTGGTGAAAATTCAATGAGTTGTACAATTATATATTGTGTACTTTCTGTATATTTCCAATAGTCTATTTAAAAGCAATGATTTTGGCTGAGGATGTGACTCAGTGGTCAAGTGCGCCCCTGAGTTATATCCCCAGTTTCCGCCCCCAAAAGGAGAACTTTAAAAGCAACGATTTTCTTTCTTTCTTTTTTTTTTTTTTAACATTTATCTTTATTTTATTTTTATGTGGTGCTAAGGATTGAACCCAGTGCCTCACGCATGCTCCACAAGCACTCTACCTCTGAGCCACAACCCCAGCCCCCTAAAAGCAATGATTTTCAATGTCATTGTTTTTTGTTGCTATTATCCCCCAAAATATTTCAGGGAGTGAAAAGAATATATAATGTGAAATGAGATTCTACTGGATCCCATAAAGAGTCTCAAGGTATAATGGAGAATTCTTAATTATATTTCCATTTCCTATAATCCCAATTCTTCTGAATTAAAATAATTACAGAATAAAAGGTAAAAATTAGATTTAGTCTAGGTAAGTGATACATGAGCCTAGAAAAATTAAGAATCCCAAATAAATATGATGAAAATAGTAGTAATGTTTTTGTAACTACAGTTTTACAAATATAATCAGGGTATAAATTTAAAAATTAAAATGAAATCTGGTATAACAAAGTTTCATAATTCGGCATTTTTAGACTACCTTATAAATGCATACAATAAATATTATAGTGCCTGGCAAAATCAAGCTGTTTTACTTATTAACATTAAAAGTGCTATAATTAAGAGGTAATGTGAGGTATGGTGGCACATGCTTGTTGGCCCAGCTACACAAGAGGTTAAGGCAGGAGGATTACAAGGGCCCAGGAATTTGAGTACAGCCTGAGCAAATAGCAAGACCCCATCTTTTAAAATAAAAGCAAACAAACAAATAAATAAAAGTGTTATAACTATTCAATATTTCAAAACACATTGCAGTCAGAATTTTTTTTTTACTTACTCAGGGTATTGTGGTCTGTGTGAATGCCTTGTATAACAGATGTTCTAAGCAACAGTTCAACATCAGAACCTATTTTCATTAGCTGTTAAAAACAAACAAACAAACAACAAATCTTTTAGGAGTTTTATGTATATGTTTAATTTTTTAAAAATATTTCTATTTACTTATTTTTATGTGGTGCTGAGGATCAAACCCAGTGCCTCACATGTGTGAGGCAAGTGCTCTGCCACTGAACCACAGCCCCAGCCCTGAATGTTTAACTGAAATCTACAGTTTTACTACAATTTCTTCTTAGATAATATTGCTTTTAACTTTTTGCAACTATTCCAAGTACACAAAAAGCTCATATAGTTTTACATGATGTTCCAAATAGATTTTGAGTATTTTTGGTAATAATGCATATTTTAAAATGTGTTTAAAATGTATAATAGTTGGGCAGAGGTTTGACTTTTTTTTTCTTTATACAGTTGAATGTTCTGAACATTAGAAAGAGTGTTGGCTTAGGAGTCAGAATCCCTGGAATCCAACTCCAGCTCTGTCATTAAGGAATGGCTTTGGGTTAACTACCCATTCTTTTTCACTTTCAGACCTCATCAAATGCAAAATTAATAACTGGACTAAAACAGTGATTCCTAAAGCTGTAGACCCTTGAGGATCTTTGAAATTCTTTCAGGGATCTGAAAGTATTATGAACACAATCAAAATTGTTTTCATAATACTATATATAGCCCTCTGCATTGTTTGTGAGTAGTAAAGCTTTCTATGATACCTCTTTTTCTGGGGCTGGGGGATTAAACCTAGGAGACTCTATCACTGAGCTACATCCCCAGCCCCTTTTCTTAAGATTTTTATTTTAATATGGGATCTCACTAAATTGTTCAGGACCTTGACAAGTTGCTGAGACTGGCCTCAAACTTGCAATCCCCCTGCCTCAGCCTCCAAGTTGCTGGGATTATAGGTATATGTCTCCATGCCCAGCAAAAATACCATTTTATACTAAGAGCTGTGATTATTTAGACTTAGATATTTGTCAGACATCTTAAACATGAATGAAATGAATATGTCACTTCAAGAAAAAAATTGATAGTATTTGCTGACAATGATGAAATTCAAGCTTTCCATTAAAAATTGGAATTCTGGAGAACTTGTATCTGCTATATGAGCTTGAAAGCTTTGCAATACTTAGAGATTTTTCTGATGAGATAGATATTAATATTAATAGATGTAATTTAAAAATATCATACAATGGCTGAGTGTAGTGGCACACATGTGTAATCCCAAAGATTTGGGAGGCTGTGGCAGGAGGATTGCAAGTTTGAGGCTAGCCTCAGCAACTTAGTGAGGCCCTGTCTCAAAATGAAAAAGGGCTGAGGATGTAGCTCAGTGGTTAAGCACCCCTGAGCTCACTCCCTGGTATACCCCACACCCCACAAAAAAAAAAAAAAAAAAATACACACACACACACACACACAATGAACTACATTAACACATTTGGAAAATCTGTCTTTTCATGAAACTGTATTTTCCAAATCACCATTGTATGGTGTTATACAATCATGCATAGGTTAAAAAAAAAAATCTGTTTAAAAGAAAAGAGATTAAAGTTCACCGATCTAGCTGGGCACAAATTTGAAGCTAACCTGGTCAACTTAGTGAGACCCTGTCTCAAAATTTAAAAATTTTAAAAATAAAAGGGCTGGGATGTAGCTCAGTGATAGAGTGCCCCTGGGTTCAGTCACCAGTATTGGTACATGGCAGCGCGGAGTCATTATTATACTAAATGAAGCTCTGAGTAAGAAAAGCCCTAAGTGAGAAAGAACTTAGCAGGAAGAGGTTAACAGTATAAAGGCTTTGAGACACTGAAGTTCTTTGTAGATTCAAGAACTCTCAAAATAAGGCACTGTGACTGAAAAGAAAGAGGGTACATGATTCAAGTTGAGGTGGGAATCAGATCAGATTCAGTCAAGTAGATATATAATCTTGTAGATCATGATAAGCATCAAAACTTTTTTTTTTTTTTTTTGCAGGGGAATGTGGGGGTGATGCAGAGGATTGAACACAGGGTCATGGGCACACCAGACAAGGGATCTACTACTGAGTTACATCCCCAGCCAGTAGATTTTTTTTTTTAAAAGGGATAAAGATTGTGAATATAAGAGTGACCTGATGTGTGTGTTCTTAATGGACCACTCCCTTGAGAATAGGGAGCGAAGGTGGATGCAGGGAGTCCTGGTAGGAGGCTGATGCAATAATGCAGGGAGAGATGATGGTGGCTTGGATGAGGTGATAATGAGGGAGATGATAGGTGGCTGAATTCTGGATCTATTTTGAAGCGTAAACCAATAAGATCTATTGATAGATTGGATATGTGACAGGACAGCAGTCAAAAAAGAAAATGCCACCATTTTTGGTTTGAGAATCAAAAGGAGGGAGTTTCCATTAGCTAACGTGGAGAAGGCTATGGGAGAGCAAGCCCCACCTCCTGATTCCAGAAAGGGGCCTAGCAGAGTACCGAGGAAGACAGATGAGTCTTTTCTTCCATTGGAGTTGATAAACTGAGTTAAGTCCTAAAGCTAAGGCTGAAAATAGGTAAGATGTGGAAGAAGAGATGTGGGGGATCAGAGATGAGAAAGAGGTGGTCTGTATGAAATCTAGAGCCTCCCCCCGAAAAATCCATTGGTCTACAGATAACAAAGTTCCATATTCCCAGGGACCTTTAAGAAATTGCCGCTTGTCAAATATAGTATCAAAGAATATACACAATTATCTGAAAAGGCTATTACATACTTCTACCCTTTTCCAACTATATATCTGTGTGAGACTGGACTTTCTTCAACCTAAAAAACATGTTGTAGAGGGCTGGGGTTGTGGCTCAGTGGTAGAGTGCTTGCCTAGCATGTGTGAGGCACTGGGTTCAATCTTCAGCACCACATACCAATAAATAAATAAATAAATAAAAGTATAATTTAAAAAAAAAACATGTTGTAGAGATTCAATAAAGAAGATGTCTAACTTCTACTGAAGCAGACATTAAAGAGATTTACAAAGATGCAAAATGATGTCACCCTTCTCATTAAATTTTTTTAAAAAGTTATTTTTCATAAATAGTAATTTCTTTTTAAAAAATGTTTAAACTTTAAGATTATTTCTACATGTAATGGGTTTATTTTTATTTTTTTAAATTTTTTTAAACTTGTTTATAGACCTTTATTATTTGTTTATATGTGGTGTTGAGAATCGAACCCAGTGTCTCACACATGCCAGGCAAGTGCGCTACCACTGGGCCACAGATACAGCCCAATAATGGGTTTATTAATGTTATTTTAAAATGAATCAATATACTTTTAAAGAAATTGTAGGTTTAAGTTTCTAATATGTTAAATAGCTTTCTGAAGTCCTCTATTTTATTTTTAAAAATACTTTTTAGTTGTAGATGGACAAAATACCCTGATTTTATTTGTTTATTTTTATGTGGTGCCAGGATCAAACTCAGTGCCTCGGACATGCTAGGCAAACACTCCACCGCTGAACCACAACCCCAGCCCATTTTATTTTTATTTTATACTTTATTATACCATTAAAATCATACATAGTATATGGGTTCAATTTTACAAAATTACACATACAAGGAATTTTATTTCAGTCGCTATTCCTCTCTTTTTCCTCCTATTCTCCCTCTCCCTATTCTCCATCTACTCTACTAATCATTCTTTTGCTTATTTATTTGTTTGTTTGTTTGTTTATTTATTTCCCAGCATTCCACACGTGCTAGGCAAGCACTTTACTGCTGAGCCACAACTTCAGCCCCTTCTTTATTTATTTTTGATTGGTACTTTCAGCACATACATAAAAGTAAAATTTCCCATTTATATATGAATATAACTTGACTTTGTTAAATTCATTCTGTGAATTCATTCATTTCCCTTTCCCTTCCTTGCTCCCTCTCGTTCTCCTACTTCTACTTCACTGGTCTTCCCTTTATCTTTATGATACCCAATTCCCTCCTCCATTGTTTTTTTTTCCCCCTTATTTCGCTATATCTTCTACATGAGAGAAACATCTGACCCTGGATTTTCTGAGTCTGACTTATTTGGCATGGTTTTCTCCTTTTCTGTCCATTTACTGGCAAATATCATTATCTTCTTTTTGGCCAAGTAAAACTCCATAGTGTATATATGCTATATTTTTTTTATCTACTCATATATTGATGGGCATCTGGACTTATTTCATAATTTGGCTATTGTGAACTGTGCTGCTATACATATTGAGGTAGATGTATCATTACAGTATGCTGATTTTAGTTCTTTTGGATAAATGCTAAGGAGTGGGATGACTGGGTCATATGATGTTTCCGGTCTCAGTTTTCTGAGGAACCTCCACACTACTTTCCGAAGTGGTTGTATTAATTTTGCAGTCCCACCAACAATGTATAAGTGTACTTTCCCCCCACACCTTCACCAGCATTTATTATTATTTATAGTCTTGATAATTGCCATTCTGTCTGGAGTGAGATAAAATCTTAATGTAGCTTTGATATGCACTTCCCTGATTGCTAAAGATGTTGAACATTTTTACATATATTTGTTGGCCATTTGTGTTTCTTCTTTTGAGAATTTTCTGTTTAGTTCTTTTGCCATTTATTGATTGGGTTATCTGCTTTTTGGCAATTGAATTTTATGAGTTCTTTATATATTCTGGATATTAATTCCCTGTCACAAGAGTAGCTGGCAAAGGTTTTTTCCTATTCTGTAGGCTCTCTCTTCCTTCTCTTGATGGGTTTCCTTCACTGTGCAAAAGCTTTTTAGTTTGATGACATCACACTTATTGATTCTTGATTTTATTTCTTGAGTTTTACGGGTCTTGTTAAGAAAGTCGGTGCCTATACCTATATGATGGAATGTTGACTATGTTTTTTTTCCTAGCAGTTGCAAGGCTTTTGGTCTAGTTCCTAAGTCTGATTCATTTTGAATCACAGGGTGAGACAGGGATCTAATTTCATTCTTCTATCTATGGATATTCAGTTTTCCCAGCATTATTTGTTTTAAAGGCTCTTTTCTCCAACATATATTTTGCCAATTTTGTCAAGTATCAAATGGCTATAAGTATGTGGATTTGCCTCTATCTTCTGTTCTATTCAATTGGCATACATGTCTATTTTGATACCAATACTGCAGTGTTTGTGCTATAGCTCTGCAGTATAATTTGACATCAGGCATTGTGATGCATTCTGCATCAATTTTCTTACTCAGAATTACTTACTTAGAATTGCTTTACCTATTCTGGGTCTCTTATTCTTCCAAATTAACTTAAGGACTGTTTTTTCTACTTCTGTGAAGAATATCGGTATTTTGATGGGTTTACCTTGAATCTGTATATTGCTTTGGTAGTATGGCCATTTTATCAATATTACTTCTGCCTATCCAAGAACATGGGAGCTTTCTGGAGTCGTCAATTTTATTTTATTTTTTAAAATATTTTTTAGTTGTAGATGGACAAAATACCTTTATTTTATTTATTTTTCTATGGTGGCCAGGGATCAAACCCAGTGCCTCACTCATGCTAGGCAAGCACTCTACCACTGAGCCACAACCCCAGACCATTTTATTTTTATTTTATATTATACCATTAAAATTTCCATTTTCTAAGGTCTTCTTCAACTTCTTTCCTCAGTGTTCCATAATTTTCCATTGAAAAGGTCTTTCACCTCCTTGGTTAGATTAATTCCAGTTTTTTTTTAATATTATGAATATAATATTGTGAAAAGGATGGTTTTCCTGATTTCTTTCTCAGCTGAATTGCTATTAGAATATAGAAAAATTATTGAATTCTGATTGTTGACTTTCTATCCTGCTACTTTTCTAAATTCTTTATCCGCTCTAGGAGTCTTCTGGTGGGATTTTTGAGACCCTCTAGATATAGGATCATGTCATCAGCAAACAGTGATAGCTTGACTTCTTATTTTTCTATTTGTATTCCTTTGATTTCCTTCTCTTGCCTGATTGCTCTGGCTTGAGTTTCAAGAACTATATTGAGAAAAAGTTGTGAGAGTGGACAGCCTTGACTTGTTCCTGATTTTAGAAGAAGCTTTCAGTTTTTCTCCATTCAGTAATGATGTTGGCTTTAGGTTTGTAGACTATAGCCTTTATAATGTTGATATAAGTTCTTTCTACCCCCATTTTCTCCAGTGTTTTTCTAAAAATATATATTTTAGTTGTAGATGAACACTATACCTTTATTTTATTATATTCACATGTGGTGCTGAGGATTAAACCCAGGGCCTCCCATGTGCTAGGTAAGTGCTCTACCAATGAGCCACAACCCCAGCCCCTCTTCATTATTCTTAACATGAATGGTTGCTGTATCTTATCAAAGGCATTTTTTGCTCTTATTGAGATGATCATACAGTTCTTGTTCTTAATTCTATGTAAGTGGTGAATTACATTTATTGATTTGCATGTGTTGATCAAATCTTGCATCCCTGGGATAAAGCCCACTTGGTCATGGTATATTATTATATATATATTTTGAGTGCAGCTTGCTAATATTTTATTAAGAATTTTTACATCTATCAGGGTATTGATCAGTAGTTTTCTTTCCTAGATATGTCTTTGCCTGATTTTGGGATCAGGGTTTTACTGCCTTTATAAAATGTATTTGGGAGTGTTTGCTCCCTTTCAATTTTATGGAATAATTTGAGAAAGACTAGGGTTAGTTTTTCTTTAAAAGCCTGGTAGAACTCAAATGAGAATCCATCTGGTCCTAAACTTTTCTTCACTGACAGGCCTTTAATTGCTGTTTCAATTTCATTACTTGATATTGGTCTATTTAGGTTTTCTGACTCTTCCTGGTTCAATTTGGGCAGGTCATATGAGTTTAGAAATTTATCAGTGTCTTCTACATTTTTGCAGTTTATTAGAATACAAATTTTCAAAAAATTTTTCTAATGATCTTCTGGATTTCAGAAGCATCTGTGGTGATATCTCTTTTTTCATCTCTAATTCTGCTAATTTGGGTCTTCTCTCTATCTTTTGGTTAGTCTGGCTAAGGGTTTATATATCTTTTTTTTTTTTTTTTTGAAGAACCAACTCTTTGTTGCACTGACCCTGTATATTGTCTATTTATTCTTAATTTCATTAATTTTGGCTATGGTCTAATTATTTCCTATCTTCTACTGATTTGGAGTTGGTTTATTCTTTTTCTAAGGCCTTGAGGAGGAGCATAAGATTATTTATTTGGAATCTCTCCATTTTCTTAATGCCTGCATTTCTTAGTGCCTGCACTCATTGCTATAACTTTTCCTCTTAGTACTGCTTTCAATAGTGTTCCAAAGACTTTGATATGTTAGATCTTTGTTTTCATTTGTTTCTAAGAATTTCTTGATTTCTTCTCTCATTTCTTCTTTGACCCAATCTTCATTTAAAAGAGTATTATTTAATCTCCATGTGTTTATGTGGTTTCTATTTTATTTCTTGCTGCTGATTTCTAGTTTCATCATTATGGTCTGATAGGATGTGTGGGATTATATTGATTTTTTTTTTTTGTATTTGCTAAGACTTACATTATGACCTAGAATATATTCTATTTTAGAAAAGTTTCCATGAACTGCTGAGAAGAAGGTAAATCAGTTGTTTGGGGGTAAAATACTCTGTATATGTCTATAAGGTCCATTTTATTTATAGTATTATTTAGGTTGAATACATCTTTATTGATTTTCTGCTCTGATGACCTGTCTAGTAGTAATAAGGGTGTGTTGAAGTCACCCAGTATTGTTATATTGGGATCTATCTGTGATTTAAGGAATATTTTCTTAATTAGGTACCTTGACATTTTATATATAAATGTGTGTGTATGTATGTGTGTGTGTATATATATATACACATTTATATATATGTCTCTTCTTGTTGGGACTGTTTCCTTCGCCAGTATATAAGGGCCTACTTTGTCTCTTTTGATTAATTTTTGCTTGAAATATAACTTTGTCAGATATGAGAATAGCTACTCCAGATTGTTTAGACTCCATTTGAGTGGAAATTTTTTAACTTTTTACCTTCAGTCTGTGTCTTAGCCTATGAGTCTCTAGCAGAGAGGATATAGTTGGATCTTATTTTTTGATTCATTCCACTAATCTATGTCTTTTAATTGGGGAGTTGAGATTAATATTCAATATTATTATGGATGTGTTTGTGGTTTACAGTCATTTTAATTTTTGTTTAGGTTTAATTGTTTTCATTCTCATTTAGATGATTAGTTTTCTATTGATCTTTATCTACTTGGGAGTTTTGGGATTTGTTTTTGGGTTCCTCTGTATACAGTTTGAGTATTCTTTGTAGTGTTGGCTTATTTGTCATTTAAGGGTCCTCAATTTTTAAGAGGGTAAAGGCATCCTGAGACTACCAAGTTAGAGAACTGCTAGTCTAGAAGATGCCTAGGATTCCTTTTGACACCAAGATTTCAAGAACCCTGTAATCTATGAGAATTTAATTATCAATAATTACTAAATAATATTTACATAGTTACTGAAAGTATAAAATATATATTTACATAAAACAAACATCCAATATCTATATTGGTTAATGTTAGATTAATGTCCCATGTGTAAAATAAATTTGGGAGACTGTATGTTCATGTTCCCAATTTAGTTGACAGAAAAAGCCTTCAATTAAAAATCTTTTTTATTGAAACAGAGTCTCCCTTTGTTGCCCAGGCTAGTCTTAAACTCCTGGTCTCAAATCCTACCACTTAGCCTCTCAAGTGGCTGGGACTTGAGGCATGTGACATTAAAACATCCTTAATAATAATTTCAAAATTTAAAAATAATTACCATATTATTGTTAATCCACCTACTGAATGGTCAATAGTACAAACTTCCTCATATACTCTATTTAAAAAAATATTTTCAGTTATAGATAGACATGAAACCTTTATTTTATTTATTTTTATGTGGTGCTGAGGATTAAATCCATTGCCTCACACGTGCCAGGCAAGTGCTCACCATTGAGCTTCAACACCAGACCCCTTCGTATACTCTTTTTTCGGGGGGAAGGTACCAATGATTAAACTCAGGGGCACTTGACTACTGAACCACATCCCCAGCCCTATTTTGTATTTTATTTAGATACAGGGTCTCACTGAGTTGCTTAGCAACCTCGAAGTTGCTGAGGCTGGCTTTGAACTCATGATCTTCCTGTCTCAACCTTCCGAGCTGCTGGGATTACAGGCGTATGCCACCATGCCTGGCTCCCTTCATATACTCTTGCTTTTTTTTGTTTTTGGTTCTTTTTGTTACCAGGAATTAAACCCAAGGACACTTAACTACTGAGCCACATCCCCAGACCTTTTTGATTTTGAAACAGAGTCTTCACTAAGTTGCTTGGGGCCTCACTAAGTTGCTGAGGCTGGCCTCGAATTTGCAATCTTCTTGTCTCAGCCTCCCATGCCACTGGGATTACAGACGTGTGCCAGTCTTCTTCCTAGTTATGATTTGATTACTGATTACACTGTCATCTTAACTTCTACCATAAATAAAAATTACATATTTCCTGTTTGTCCTATCATATGCTTAAGTGAAATCTTCCTTTTTTTTTTAATATATACAGATGGAAATACTTAGGCTATGTCATTCTGTTTTATTAGCTCAACTATAACAGGTATTTACTATTTAAAACTAGTATATTTTTTTGCCAGGTACCATTGTACACACCTGTAATCCCAGCAACTCAGGAGGTGTAAGCAGGAGAACTGCAAGTTCAAAGCCAGCCTCTGCAAGTCAGCAAGACCCTAAGCAACTTAGCAAGACCCTGTCTCAAAATAAAAAATAAAAAGAGCTAGATATGTGGCTCAGTGGTTGAGCACCCCTGGGTTCAATTCTTGGTACCAAATAAAAGAAAATAAAATACTATTTTTCCTACTTAATATAAATGCATTTTATCATATTTCTTTAAAACTCATAAAAATTCTATTAAAAATGGAAGACTCTAATTTGTATCTTCCCTTTTACCAAACCAATTCTTTGAATCCTAACTAACTCTTGCAAAAATTCTCTATTTTTTGTTTGCTTCATAAGGACCATTTCCCTACCTTTATACAAAGATAGACACAGAAGTTCAGGATAGAGACATTATATGTATATACATTATACAGGAAAAGAATCACCTGTGCATCTTTTCTATGAGCATGTATTAAGAGTTCCATGGAGCTCATAGACTAATATCAGTAGAGTGTCTTCAACTATAGCAAGTGACCAAAAAGCAAATATGGAAGGCAATGTAGAATAGTTCATAAACTGAGGCTGTGTATGCTATTAGATGATACAAATTTTAAAAAAAGGGGGGGGGAGGGGTTGACCTGACTAGTTGAGCAGAAGTTCCCTCTGGAGTTCCAAGTTATTACAACACTCTCCATAGTTTCAGTCACTCGCCTTAGGTGAAGACAGAATTTCATGGGTTTCTCTGTTGGTTCAGCTGCTCTTGGTTTGACCATGGCTACTTCTATGTTCTTTTCACAGGGCAACTTGGTGTCATTTGGGTATAGGCAGATGATCTTGAGAAGATGAGCCACACCAAACAAATGAAGGTTATCTATATTTGTGATGGTTTTATTTATCAAGTAATGGGTTTGACTTCATATATCCTCTCTATTTTCATCATTTCCTCTTTGCCAACAAAATTTTATAAGAGCTTTATTATATATGGGTCAAATTATATTATGATAGTATGTACCGGTATATAAATGTAATAACAAATCCTATCATTATGTACAATACAACTAAAATACACCAATTAAAAAAAAGAGCATTGTTATAATTTGAAAAACTCAATTACTGTACCTCTTCTATTTTCTTAGGAGAAGTTTCACTTTTATTACTTTTGAATTCTTCATTTATCTTTATTCTGGCTGCTAGAGAGAAAAAATATATTCAGTTATTTGCTTTAGAATTTAGAATTCTTGCCTCAACAATTTACATGTCATTCATTATATTATTCATTTCTCTTTCTATAGTATAAAAAAAGAGTTTGTTCCCATGTAAAACAAAGCATGAGAAATATATTAAATAAATCTCTTGGAGAGGTTTTGACAGGTAAATTTGTTTAATAAATAAATAAATAAATAAATAAATAAATAAATAGGGGCTGTGGGTATAGCTGTGGGTAGAGCACTTGCCTCTAATGCTCAAGGCCCTGGATTCAATCCCCAGCACCACAAAAAATAAATAAATAAACTTTTAGCACTCTAATACTTTCCCTGCTTTTCACTCTATAGTTATTGGATTCTAAGAAATCCAAATGATTGCTGATTTGTGTTTTTCTGTTTTGTTTTGGTACTTAGGATTGAATCCACTAAGTTCTACCACTTAGTTATATGCCCTTTTTATTTTTTGATATTTTGAGACATAGTCTCCCAAAGTTGCTGAGACTGGCCTTGAATTTGTAATTCTCTTGCTTCAACTTTTAAGTAGCTGGGATTATGGGTGTTCCCCATGATGCCCAGCCCAGCTTCATGCTTTTTTTCTATAAACCTAAGGACTTTGATTAAAAGTCTTTTGTTTTTCCAAGAAAGCAAAAGTCTGTGTTAAACTATATATGTACATACACTGACAATTAAATTGCCGAGGCTGTCCTCGAACTTGCAATTCTCTTGCCTCAGGCTCCAGGGTTGCTAAGATTATCACTTAAAAACTTTTAAAGCAGGGCTGGGATGTGGCTCAAGCGGTAGCGTGCTCACCTGGCATGAGTGCAGTCCAGGTTCAATCCTCAGCACCACATACCAACAAAGATGGTATGTCCGCCGAGAACTAAAAAATAAATATTAAAAATTCTCTCTCTCTCTCTCTCTCTCTCCCCCCCCCTCACTCTTAAAAAAAAAAAAAGAAAAAAACTTTTAAAGCAGCTGGGCACAGTGGCTCATGCCATCATCCCAACAACTTGGGAATTTGTGAGGCAGGATTACAAGTTCGAGGCCAGTCTCAGCATCTTAGCAAGACCTTTGACAACATAGAAAGGCCTTGTCTCAAAATTTAAAATAAAAAGGATTCGTGATGCAGCTCAGTGGTAAAGCACCCAAGTTCAAGCTCTAGTACCCCCCAACACCAAAATTAAAGCAATAAAAATATACCACGTTAACAGGGACTAGCCATAAAACCTTCCTTCTGTGTTTGATACATCTTTATATGTAAGGTGGTTAAGAGTCTGGGCTATGGAGTCAAGATTACTTAGACTATATTCCAGTTCTACCTCTTTTCATTTATAATGTGGGGTAAATCTTTTCACATTTTGTTAGTTTTTGCCTTGCAAAAGTAGGAGTTATAATAGTTACTACCCTATAGAGCTGATATGAGAATTAAATTAGGAATTTGTTTAAAGTACAGATGAAGCTGGATTCCGTGGCCTTGCCTATAATGCCAGCAGCTCAGGAGGCAAGAGGATCTTGAGTTCAAAGCCAGACTCAGCAACTTATTGAGGCCCTAAGTAATTCAGTGAGACCCTGTCTGTAAGGAAGTACAAAAAGGGGCTAGGGATATGGCTCAGTGGTTAAGTGTCCCTGGGTTCAATTCCCAGTACCAAGTAATAATAATAAAGTACGTATGATGTATATACCTTAATGTTTAAAAAATTATTTCTGGTTAATTAGAAAATTTTTAACTCCTAAGGAAGTTGGGAGTGAAGTTGACTATGACTATTAGTGAACTTAAAGCTTATAGCTATAACTTCCAGATAAGATAGAAATTGCTTAAAACAGGGAGATGCTGAACTTGGAATCATCTGAGTTGGTTTTCTTTCTCAACTACTATGACTTCTTAACTAAAACTGGTATTTACAATATGATGGTACCTGGTCCTAAAACGTGAAAATATGATGAGAGAGAAACAGGTTTAATGATCTGAAAATAAGGCAAGTTATGGAGAACACTGAAATTCTGACCTTCCATTTCCTGATTCTTTATTGAAAACCTGATTTAATTTTTTTTCTTTAAGTAGATATTCCTCAAAGAAATATGACAGAAGCAGGACATAGTGCCATATGCCTATAATCTCAGTGACTCAGTAGGCTGAGGGAGAGGGATCACAAGTTCAAAGCTAGCCTCAGCAACTTAGCGAGGCTCTAAGCAACTTAGTGAGACCCTGTCTCAAAATAAAAAATAAGCTAGGCGCGGTGGCGCATGCCTGTGATCCCAGTGGCTTGGGAGGCTGAGACAGGAGTATTGCAAGTTCAAAACCAGCCTCAGCAAAAAGCGAGGTACTAGCAACTCAGTAAGACCCTGTCTCTAAATAAAATACAAAATAAGACTGGGGATGTGGCCCAGTGGTCGAGTACCCCTGAGTTCAAACCTTGATACTAAAATAAATAAATAAAATTAAAAATAAAAGGGTTGGGGATGTGGCTCAATAGTTAAATGCCCTGGATTCAATCCGTAGTACCAAAAAAAGTAATGTAAATAAATCTTTTTAAACTATATATGTGTAAAATCAAAGATTTGGTTAAGGACCGGGGTTGTGGCTCAGTAGTAGAGTGCTTACCTAGCATGCATGAGGCACCAGGTTTGATCCCTGGCACCACATTAAAAAATAAATAAATAAAATAAAGGTATTGTGTTCATCTACAACTAAAAAAAAAAATTAAAAAAAGAAAGAAAGAAAGAAAGAAAAACTGCCCAGAATGTAGAATAAAAATCCAGAGAGAAATTAAGAGGAGAAAATTAAGAGAGTAATCCAGAACAGTTATATTAACAAGAACACCAACAAGAGAGAAAAAGAAGTAAAAAATCAAAAGGGAAATAATCTCAGAGGAGAGATAGTAAAGGTCATTCCGTAGACAGGTCTTAACCAAACAGGCAGGATTTCCAGAACAGAATAACAGCCATCTAAAAAATGAACTTGCTCCAGAGGGTTAAAAAATATATTTACCTTCTAATGCTCTAGGATCATTTTTAAAAACTTGTTGTCTTGTTCTGTGCAATGTTCTAAAGAGCTGTAAAACCTGTTAAGAAAATAAGAATTCAGACCTCACAAGAAAAACTTTCAATTTTCCATAGTTGTATTACAAGAATTAACAGTCTTCCTTTTCTATTTGTTTCTTAAACTATTTTTCAAAATAACTCATGAAAAATCATGGTTTGCCATAATAACATTCCCTTTGCATTCAGATATATACAAAGATATATAGATTGGAGATGCAGTTTAGTGGTAGAGTGTATTCTTAGCATGCATAGGCCCTAAGCTCAATCCTCAGTACCAAAAGTTTTAGCTTTATTTACAAAAAAGTTTTAGCTTTATTTACCAAGAGAAAGTTCTCTGAATCAAAGAAAGAAAGAAAGGTTAAAAAGATAATAATCCTGTCAAAAATCAGTCTGCTTGCTGATCCATAATTGCAGGGGTCGGCAATGGGGAAAATGAAGGAACTGATTGGGCAAAGGGGAAGGAGGAAAGGTGTGAAGGCAGGGTGGGGGTGGGGTGGTGGAATGATATGGTTATCATTACCCTAGATACATGTATGACTGCACATATGGTGGGACACTACTGTAAGAAATGAAAAGTTGTGCTGCAATTGTGTACACTGAATCAAAATGCATTCTGCTGTCATACATACCTAATTAGAATAAATAAATTAATTTAAATTTTTAAAAAATCAGTCTGCTAACCAACTTTACCAGTTTAGTATGTATTTGTTCACCTCTTTCTTAACATATTGAAACTTTCATCTACTCTTGTTTGTTTGTTTGTTTTTGTGGTGCTGGGGATTGAACCCAGGGCCTTGTGCATGGGAGGTAAGCACTCTACCAATTGAGCTATATCCTCAGCCCCATTCATCTACTCTTAAAATCATACATTCACTTACACAAAATCATGAACTTATTATATCTGAAAAGAGCCAGAAAAAAAATGTTTCAGATAATTTAGGCAAGTTTAACTGCAGTTTCTCAAAGGCAGAGTGAAATGCTGAGACTTATGAATATTCAAAGTTTGTGTAAAAAAAAAAGAAAGAAAAGAACCTGGCATTTTTGTTAAAGATTATCAAGATTTTTTTATTTTTTAAATTGTAGATGAACATAATTCCTTCCTTCCTTCCTTCCTTCCTTTCTTTCTTTCTTTCTTGTGCTGAGGATCGAACCTAATGCCTCACACATGCTAAGCAATCACTCTACACTGAGCTACAACCCCAGCCCTATCAAGCTGTTTTTTTTTTTTGATAAGCTGAGGTCACCTCTCATTTCTCAAGTCCAAAATGGTACTCAATGTTGCACTTCTTCCCTGTCCTCTCAATCTTGTTTTTATTATTTACTTATTTATTTATGTGGTGCTGAGGAGCAAACTCAGAGCCTCACCATTGAGCTATATCCCCAGCCCATGTTCTCAATTTTAGTTTTTGAGACCACTGAGCTTCAAGCCAAAAATGTTAAGGTCATCCTTTAAATCTATTCTACTCTTCATGTAGAACTTTAGGAATACCTCCCTAAACGTTTTAATATCCCCCATCCTAAAACTAGTTCAGACCTTCCTTATCTCTTTCTTAGATGACTTACAAAGGTATATCACTCTACCATCATTGCCTCCTTTCCTCCAATCTGTTCTCCAGATAATCTAACACTGAACATACTGCATGCCTGACACCATATTAAGGGTTTTACATGCATTAGAAAACTGGTAATATCAAAGGCAGATAACAATAACAACAACAACAAAAGAAAATAAAAAAAGAAAAAGAACCAGGAAAATTGGGAGCAGAAAACTCCAAAAATCTCTTGGATATCAACTTTATGAAAGCAAAAATTAGGTTGAGAAAATCTGCTCAGAACATAAAACAAAAATCCAGAGACAGAATTGAGGAGAGAGGGCTGGGGTTATGGCTCAGTGGTAGAGCATTTGCCTCACGTGTGTGAGGCACTGGATTCAATCTCAGCACCACATATAAATAAATGAATAAAATAAAGTCCATCAACAACTAAAAAAAAAAAAAGTTATAATAAGTATCTTTTTTTAAAAAAAAAAAAGAAAAAAAGAAGGAGCTGGGATAGAGCTCAGTTGGTAGAGTGCTTATCTCTCATGCACAAGGCCCTGGGTTCAATCCCCAACAACAACAAAAAAAGGAAATAAAGAAAGAAATTGAGGAGAGAAAATAAGAAAATTAAGAGAGTAATCTAAAGACCTAAGAGTAATATCAGCAGGGACACCAACAAGAAAGAAATGGAAGTAAAAAGGGAAAAGGGCGATAATCAAGTAAGGACACAAGTCACTAGACAGAAGGGTTCCACCAAGTGTAAAACACAAAACTCACAGTTGCATATCAGTGAAATGCTAAAAATAAAATCTAAGGGAAAAAACAATTCACATTTAAAGTATTAGAAGGGCTGGGATTGTGGCTCAGCGGTAGAGCATTAACCTAGCACAGGCGGGACCTGGGTTCAATCCTCAGCACCACATAAAAATAAAGGCATAGGCTGGAGATGTGGCTCAAGCGGTAGCACGCATGAGCGCAGGGCGCTGGGTTCCATCTCATCAGTACCATATAAAAAAAAATAAAATAAAGATGTTGTGTCCACTGAAAACTAAAAAATAAATATTAAAAAATTCTCTCTCTCAAAAAATAAAATAAAATAAAATTAAGATGTTATGCCCACCAAAAACTTTAAAAAAAATAAATATTAAAAAAATTATCTCTAAAATAAAAAATAAAAAAAATTAAAGGCATTGTGTTGTATCCACCTACACCTAAAAAAAAATTAAAATAAATAAATAATTAAGTATTAGAAAATAAGAATGGCATATAACATCTAAATAATATCACTATGAGAAGACAAGAAAATGTTTTCAAATCTTGGAAAAAGTTAATAATTACACTCAATAATAATAGGAATAATATCAAAGGTGAAAACTGTTTCTTCAAAAATTATACATTTTGAAGACAACGTATGAGAGTGAGACTAGTCCTCATCTTCTATAGCTAAATGTCAATAAAAAACATCTCAAAAGAGAAAGAAACCAATGAATAGCAGTTTAAACATGTTATTTAGAAATATGAAGTAAATCCCAGATGATTAAAATGATTAAAAAGCACTGATCTCTGGGAAGCAAGAATTGGGAATAAGTAGAAGAAAATGGGTGTCTACTGGTTTTGAATTTTACTTCTTAAACTTTACATATTTATCATCTTTATAAAATTTTATTTTAAAAAAGGAAAGGGAAAAGACACTATCAAAAAAGAAAAAAAGTTAGGTACTATGGCACACACTTGTAATCCCAGCAACCCAGGAGGCTGAGGCAGGAGATCCCAAGTTTTGGGTCAGCCTTAGAAACTTTTAGTTTTGAGACCCTGTCTCAAAAAAAAAAAAAATGGTCTGGGGCTCTAGCTCAGTGGTAAAGCACAACTGGGTTTAGATTCTAGTACCAAACAAAAACCAGCCAGGTACAAGAAGAACTTGGGAGGTTGAGGCAGACTGCCAACTATGAGTTCAGTCCAAGCGACAGAGTGAGACCCTATCTCAAAGAAACATAAAAAAGAAAAAACCCCACAGAATGGTAGAAAATATCTGTAAATCCTAGAACTGATAAGGGCTTAATACCCAGAATATCAAAAGAACACTTATAACCCTAATTTTTAAAATATGCAAAGGATTTGAGTAGACATTTCTCCGAAAAAAGATGCACAAACGTCCAATGAGCTATGAAAGATATTCAACATTCTTTCCCTTCTGGAAAATCCAAATCTAAACCACAATAAGATGTTACCACATCCCAGTAGAATAGCAATAGTAAAACAAAGTCAATAACAAGTGTTAGCAAGGATATGGAAAATACAAAATTCTTATATATTGTTGGTGAAAATGAAAAAAAAATACAGCTGCTCTGGAAAAGTTTAGCAGTTGCTCAAAAAGTTAAAACAGAGTCATCTCACAATCCAATAATTCGATTACAATTCTATTACTAGATATATACCCAAGAAAAATGAAAACATGTACACTAATGTTCACAGCAGCATTATTCATAATAGTCAAAAAGTAGAAACAACCTAAATGTCTACAACCTCATGAATAAACAAAATGTGGAATATCCATACTACTATGCTTTGAGTTGTGCATACTCCCAAAAGAAGTTGAAGTCCTAATCCCAGACACCTGTAAATGTGACTTTACTAGGAAATAAACCTTTTGCAAGATGTAATCAAGTTAAGATGAGGTCACTAGGGTGACCTACTCCAATGAGACTCCAATGTGGGGAAAATACCACATGAATTATAAACACACAGAGGAAAGAGAGCCTGGTGAAGACCAAGATAGAAACTGGAATGATACAACAGCAAGGCACAGAACCACCATTGGAAGCTAAGAAAAAGCAAGGAAAGACACCGCACAGTGTTTCAGAGAAAGTGTGGCCTTGCTGACATCTTGACCATGGATTTCTAGCCTCTGTTACTGTGAGACAATAAATTTCTGTTGTTCTAAACCACACTGTTTATGGCAGGTTGAGTGTCCTTAGCCAAAATGTTTGGGACCAGAAATTTTCCAGATTTTGAGGTTTCTCAAAATTTTGGAATATTTGCATAAAATTATTGGATCAGCACCCCTAATCTGAAAATCTGAAATCCAAAATGCTCCAAAAATCTGAAACTTTTTAAGAATCACATTGATGCTCAACAAGTTTTATAGTTCAGAGCATTTCAGATTACCAATGTTGGTATTAGGGATGTTAACCTGTACTTTATTAAGACAAATGTAGGAGAAAAATACAGATTTTGGTACTGGAAAATGGGATGCTGCTGTAACAAGTACCCAAAAATGTACAAGTAGCTTTCTAATTGAATACTGTGTACAGGAAGGAAGAATTCTGAAGTGCTTGGTAGTAAAAGTTTTGATAGCCCTGAAGAGACTGTTGGCAAAAATATGGATTTTAAAGGAATCATAGTATATAGCATATGCTTAACACTGTGAGGCCCTGGGTTCAATCTCAGCACACACACACTCACACAGATGCCATCATAGAAACCTGGAAATTTAATATTGCAAGAGTAGTAGAAGACATGTTGCAAGGAATTTCAGAAAGTGCGGAGAGGTAAACTAGACCTGGCACAAGCTTTTAGTCCCAGCTATTCAGGAAACTCAGGCAGTACAATTTTGCTTCTATTGTTGTGACTTAACATTAAAGTGTTTTGAAAGTTAAACAGAACAGGAGGACCGCTTTGTGGCTCCCTATTATTGATCAACCATAAACACACTGTTTTTCCTCAAAGTATTGTAGCATAGCATTTCTTCCTTTCTGTGCCTGTTTTGGCCAGTGACAACTGCAAGTCCTAATGGGCCACAATGTTGATATTTAAAGTCAAGAATTGGGCACTGGTAAGAAATGGGCATGGGCTCGACGAGAAAACAATCTGAGACCAGGTCTTTAGAGAGTAATGCAGATGGGTCCAGCACATCCCAAACTTTGAGAACTTGGGTCTCACAATTTCTGCTATTTATCGCTAAATATTACCTTTGCAAATAATTCTGCCGGGGCTCAGTTTCCTTTGGTTCCTACACTTCTGTACACCTTCTGATCATCTGAATAAACATTCCACATCATTGCATGGTTTTAACTCCGGATTGTGTTTAACATCTCCTGAACTTCTCAGAGACCTGAAATTGGTCCCTCAATTACTCAGAACTCAAGTGGCGTGCTTTTATCACACATAACACTCAGTGCCCGTTAGCACAAAGAACTAAGAACCGTAATGACTTCTCCCTCCCTTCTCGGCACCTGCATGAACCCACGACTGCCCTTCAGTGTTGGTCATCATCCTCCAGAAAGGGTCCCGAACCCCAGCCTCCAGAAACTCCAAACAACCTTCGCAAGGCCACGGCCACGAACTTATTACTCTTACCATCGGCACCGCACCCACTCCCTCCCCAGGCCCTGTCACCTTGGCCGCCTGACCCATGGCTCTCTTCGCGGTGGCGGCCACCACTCAAGCGGTCGACTCGCCCCGCTCAACCAATCAAGGCCTGGCGTTGACGTCCAACTCCCGGTGGCCAAGTTCCTAGCGCGCCACAACCAATCATCACGCAGCATCTCCGTAGCCCCGCCTTCCTTGGAAGAACCAGGGAGAGGCATTTGCCAATTTACAACTGTAAAACCGCGAGAAGTACTGGAGCCCAATTACTGGCCAGAGGAAAAAGGAAATCACCTGGAAGGCATCTTTATTAGGGGCAGAATCACTTCCGTCTTGGGTGGTTATCTTTTCTTTCGGGCTTTGGTTACGTTTTGAATGTCTTGTATTTTAGCGTTTCCTGGTTGGGACAGTCTCTTTAGAAACGTGCATCAGTAACAATCAAGCGTTAATAACTACATTGGGCACTGGTTGGAACGCTGATTTTTAAAAACTGATATTCTTTCATTCTTTCCAAGAAGGTGAAGTGAGTTACTTGCTGAAGTTCACATGGCTATTAAATGGAGGCCTGAGATACAAATCTGCTAAGCCTGATTACAAAGACTATCCATACCTTTTATATCCTACCTACTTAATTTGCCCTACTTGTTTTGCTAGAGGAGGAAATGGGTAACTTATTAACAGAATCATAACAGAAGCACTTTTAAGTACAGTTTACTTTAGGAATTTGCAAGCAGTAAGAAAAATCTCAACCTTGTTCCTATGTCATAAGAGTTGTTCACCTTCTCTACCCCCACAAACTTTCAGATTAATTTCTAGGTACAATTGACTTTTTATAAAGAATGAAAGATTTGGAGTAATGGAACTCAAGGCCCCCTTTCCTCTCTATTGTCTGCATTTCAATATACTGCAAGTCATGAGAATAATAGATAATAGTCTACATTATTATTATTATACTGGGGATTGAACCCGACAGAGCATTACCACTGACTATATCCCCAGCCCTTTTTATATTTTATTTTGAGACAGGGTCTGACCAAGTTGCTCCCGGCCTCACTGAATTGCTGAGGCTGGCCTTCAACTTATGAGCCTTCTGAGTTGCTGGGATTACATGTGTGTGCCACCATGCCTGGCTTAAAAAAACATATTAAGGTGCATTAGATTTGTGGAAAAGCATTTGACATAATCAAGCAATTAAACCAATGTACTGGATATTGTATTGAATCCAGGACACGATAAATTAGTTGATCTTAAGACATTGTATTGTAGTGCCTTCTGAATGGTGACAATGATTAAAAGATGCTTTTTTAAAAAAAATTTTCCCCTTTAAAATCATAGCCCAATTTATTGAAAATTTGTAATTTATTGTGGTAATCTCTGGCTGACTAGGGTCCTGTATTCAGCCAATCAAAATCCCACATCTGCTGATTTTGGTGAAGGTGGGGGGAGTACTGGGGATTTATCCCAGGGCTAATTTAACAATCACCTCAATTTAACAGCCTCAACCTTTTTTATTTTGAGACAGGGTCTCACTAGATGCTTGGGGCCTCACTAAATTGCTAAGGCTGGTCTTGAATTTATAATACCGTGTCTCAGCCTCCCCAGCTGTTTGGATTACAGGCCTGCACCACCATGCTTGATCATCTTCTGATATTTGAAAATTTAGTTCCTATAATGCCAAAATCAGTTCAATCTGTGGGTGCTTTTTTCTTATATAAACCTTTGTGGTTCCTTTCACTGTTCCACAAATGAAATAACTCTTTCTGATTGTTAAGGGAAAGCGTCCGTGTTTGTCTGCATCTGAAAGTGTATGGCCCAGAACCAAACAGGAAATTCCAACATCACATAAGTTCACAGAGCTTTGTTGTAGGGAGATAATGCCCTCCAAAAGATTATATGTCCAGGACCTTTGATTATATTACCTTATGTGATGAAAAGGGCTTTACAGATATGATTAAATTAAGAATTTAGGGATGGAATATTATCTTGGATGGTATGTTGTACCTAACGAAAAAAAAAGATTTTTTAAAATTTTTTAATTTGACAGTAGAATGCATTTTGACACTTGTACACAAATGGAGCACAAATTCTTGATCCTTGGATAAAGATTATTAAAAGTAGAAAAGGGAAGAAGAGACAGGAAGAGGCCTGAAGATACTTCCGCTCTCACTTTGAAGATGGAGGAGGCCACACACCAAAAGTGCAGGTGGTCTCTCGAAGGTGGAAAAGGTAAGAGAGTTGAATCACTTGTAGAGTCTTCAAAGAATGCAGCCCTTTTGACAATTTCACTTTAGCTGAGTAGAATCCAGTTGACTTATGACTTCCAGGCCACTTGTGATGGCTCTTTCCATCATTAAAGCTAACAGCAGAACATCTTCAAATCTCCACCCTGATTCTGATATCACATCTCTCTCTCTCACTCCTGTGATGGAATCTCTTTCTTTCACTCACAAAGGGCCCTGTGATTACACTGGATCCCCGTGAATAATCCAGAAATCTCCCTACCTTGAGATCCTTAATCAATCTGTAAAATCCCTTTTCCATGTAAGGTAAGGTAACGTATTCATAAGCCCCAGGGATTAGGATATGGTGAGTTTCCACCTACCTCATCCTCATTCAGTGAGACCAATTCATCAGGTTGCAATAGAAGGAGATGAGATAGGAGAAGCTGCCAGGATTTGAATATTATTCTGTGATGGAATGCCCTGGAATATTACCAGCAAAAGAGTAACATCATGATTTATATTTTGCAAAGATCACTTTGGGTACTGTGTGGCAAACTGATGACCATGAAAGCAGAGAGTCTTTCCAACTAGAAGTCCCTCCAAGGACTCCAGGCCAGGCATGATATTGGATTAGAGTAGTGGGGATAGAGGAAGTGAGAATTAGGTTCATGATATCTGTTGAAAATGCCACAGAAGATTTGAGAATAATTTCAACTTGAGCAGCTGGGTGAATGGTGCTATCATGGATATTGAATATAATAGGAGGAGGTTTTGGTTTGTTGTGAACAGAGTAAAACTATATTTCAAGGGCCTTATAGACAGTAAGTGGAGGTGATGAATAAGAAATAATTTACATCTTTTGGCTAGTATGGAATTAAGGGGAGAGGCAGGTTAGGAGACAAGTACCTAAGTGATTGCTTTATAGATGATACAGCCTTTAGAAGATATGGAAGTTGTCTGTATTATTTATTATCTAAAATAGACACCTTTTCTTTTTTTTTTTAAAGAGAGAGAGAGAGAGAGAATTTTAATATTTTATTTTTTAGTTTTCGGCGGACACAACATCTTTGTTTGTATTTGTTGGTGCTGAGGATCGAACCCAGGCTGCATGCATGCCAGGCAAGCGCTATGGCTTGAGCCACATCTCCAGCCCCTAAAATAGACACATTTTATCTCTTGAGACAGGGCCTCACTATGTTGCCCTCGCTGGCTCCAAGCTCCTGGGCTCAAGGGATCCTCCTGCCTCAGTCTCCTTAGTAGCTGGGGCTAACATAGCACTTTCTTTTTTCTTTCTTTCTTTCTTTCTTTCTCTCTCTCTCTCTCTCTCTCTCTCTCTCTCTTTTTTTTTTTTTTGACAATTTTAGACTTAACGAAAAGTTGCCAGAAAAATACAGAATTTATATATGCCTTTCACTAAGATTCTCTAAATGCTGGGGCTGTGGCTCAGTGGTAGAGTGCTTGCCTAGCATGTTGCCTAGGTTCAATTCTCAGCACTGCATATAAATAAATAAAATAAAGGTCCAATGACAACTAAAAAAATTTTTTAAAAAAGATTCTCCAAATGTTAACATTTTACTGTGATTACTTATCCTTCTCGATTTTTTTTTCCTCTGAACTGTTTGAGAGTAGATTGCAGACATGACACTCCTATACTTCTAAATATGTCAGAGGATATTTTCCTATAAAACATTCCTTTATACTGGTGGTCGTCAAAGTGTGGTTCCAGGTTCAGCAGCAATCACGTTTCCTAGGAACATGTTAGAAACCTAATTTAGAGGACCCCACTTCAGACCAAATAATTTTGAAAATTTTGCTGTCATTAAAAAAGATATTAACGTGAGGGGCTGGGGATGTGGCTCAAGCAGTAGCGTGCTCACCTGGCATGTGTGCGGCCCAGGTGCACGCGTTTGGCCCAGGTTCAGTCCTCAGCACCACATACAAACAAAGAGGTTGTGCCCGCTGAAAACTAAAAAATATTTAAAAAAATTCTCTTTCTCTCTGTCTCTCTCACTCTCTCTAAAAAAAAAAAGGATATTAACATGATTTCAAAATTATTGTCTAATTTATAGGCATTATTTAGATTCCATCAATTGTCACAGTAATGTCTTTGATAATAGAGGTTAAGGGGCACTTTTTTTTTTTTTAAGAGAGAGTGAGAGAGAGGGAGAGAATTTTAATATTTATTTTTTAGTATTTGGCACACACAACATCTTTCTTTGTATGTGATGCTGAGGATCGAACCTGGGGAACGTATGCCAGGCGAGCACTCTACCCCTTGAGCCACATCCCCAGCCCCTACGGGGCACTTTTAAGATTAAAGGGAACCACTAGGAATAATTTTGCCAAAACAAAGTGGTTAAGTGTAATCATACAGGGCAATTCAGGAGGTATACTTATAGTTTTCTGAATATGGACAATGGAGATTGTGTTATCTAAAAAGGAGGCCAAGAACAGAAACCACTGAGAAGTATGGAACTGAAGCTCACTGTGAAGGAAGGAGAAAATGGCAGCAGAGAAGTAATAGAGTGAAATCCACTGCTGAAAGGAGGGAATGGTCAACAGTAGCAAATGATGCCAGGGGATCTAGTATGATAACTAGAATTGTTAGTACCAAAAAGTACCCTTGATAAGCGAGAAATGGACTAAAAAGTGAAAGCTGAGAAAGTGGACACAATGTGCAAAGAACACTTTTTTTAAAAGGAGCCAAGATATGGAAGGGGAGGTGGGATTAAGGAAGGCTTTGTTCCTTTAAGGTTAGCTGTTTTACACTTTGTTGATGACTGTTGGGGGGGGGGGCGGGAATCTTTGGAGAGCAGCCAAGGGCGTTTACAAACACTGATCCCTGGGTCTTATCCTCAGAGATTTGGATTTAATTGGTCTGGTGTATTGCCAGGTTCACAGAGAATTTTAAAAGCTTCCCGAATGATTTTACTAACTTGTTTTCTTTTGTTTTGGGGCACTGGGGATTGAACCCAGAGATGCACTATCGCTAAGCTACATCTCCTGCCTTTTTAAATTATTTATTTTATTAAGAGTATTTATCCATTCTTGTGTGTGCTTGTGTGATATAGGGGATTGAACCCAGGGCTTTAAGCATGCTAGATAAGCATTCTATCACTGAGTTGTAATCCCAGACCTTACTTTTTATTTTGAACTTTTTATTTTTGAAATTGATGAGGCTGGCTTCCAACTTGTGATCCTTCTGTCTCAGCCTCCTGAGTCGCTGGGATCACAAGCGTGTGCCAGAGATGGATACCAAAAAATAAATCCCCACGGCCAATAAATAAATAACATCTCCAAGTGACTTTAATGCGCAAAGTTGAGAGCCACTGCTAGGGAAAGAAACAACTTGATGCAAAATGGACTTCATTGCTCTAGTCAAGACCTTAATTTAAGTAGTTGAGAAAGGAAGTGTTAAGATGTCTCAGCCAGCACATAGTCAAATCTTTTTAATCACAGCGTCCATTTTTTCCTACAAGGGTCTATAAGCAAATGAAAGCCTTAAGCCAATAGCTCCACTCCGCGGCAAACAAGAAAGAACGAGGGGAAAACGACCCGCGTGCGTCTCCTTGCAGGAGGTGCACTCGCTACTTCCGCGCCCTTGCCGCAGCCGCAACTGCAGCCGCGTGGCTAGTACGCAGTCGCAGAACCACTTGAGCGCGCGAGCAGCGGTCCCTGCGCAGGCGTCGCCGGGACCGCGTGCACACGCCCTCTGCCGGCTCCCAGGGTTCGTCCCTCTTCTCGACTTCCCCCCTGGCCACCGTGCGGGAGGGTGGCCGAGATGGCAGATGAAATCGCCAAGGCTCAGGTGGCCCAGCCTTCTGACGGCGACACCATCTTCGAGAAGATAATCCGCAAGGAAATCCCCGCCAAAATCATTTTTGAGGATGACCAAGTAGGCGCTGGCACGTCTCGCTCGGGGGCTAAGGCGGGGCAATGGCCCGAGGACCCGCCGGTTTCCCTCGGAGGGGAGGGAAGGGGCCTTGCCGCCCCGGCCGTGCGCCCGCGTGGCCTCTACCGCGGGCCCCCAGCCAACGGGCAGGGCGGCGGGTATGGAGGCGGCCTGCTGGCGCGTGCCGGCGCTCCAGTTACGCGTTATCAGCCACGGGTGCGAGCCAGGCCGCCGGCCGCTCGTGGGGCCGCACACCGCGGAGCCTGGGCGGGCGTTGGGCGCGTGGGCTCCCCGGGAGCAACACCCGCCGGCTCCGCGTCTGCCGCGGGCCTCGTCGGTGTCAGGAATCTCGCAATCTCGCCCGCGCTCTGCTTGACAGGGAGAAACCCGATCGCGCCCTGACTCGGGCCCAATCTCCGGAGATCTCCCGCGCACAGCTGGCCCTCCCCGGGCGTCCCGGCGCCGCGTCGGCCCACGTTGGGCTGGCGGCCGCAGGGTCGCGCGGGGCGGGCTGGGATGTGCTCTCCTTGATCTCTACCGCTGAAAAACGTGCACTTAAGTCAGTGATTTCTTTCGTATTTCACGGGAAACCGTTTTATAACTTTTAGTTTTATAGTTCTTAAATAGTTAACTTCATTACAGGTGAAATCCTTGTTGATTAAACTTAAGAAATGTCTTGTGTGAATTATTTAGTGGACAGTTGTATTTATAGGTTTCGATTCCAGTATAAATAAAGCTGAGCAGGAGTTTGGCACATATAGGTAGAAAAACTTTTGTAAACATTTTGTTAAAAAACAAAGAGGGCTGGGGTTGTGGTCGGAGGTGGAGCTCACCTAATACCTACGAGGCACTGGGTTCGATCCTCAGCACCACATAAAAATAAAGTTACTGTGTCCATCTACAAACTCTAAGAAATAACGGAATAAAAGGAAACCAGTGCTACTGATACTAGATTCAAAGCGTTATCTATGGTTTAATTAGTTCTTTTGAGTTGGATTTTATTTAGATACTTTTGTTACTAGTTGGGAAGTTCTTTTGTTTTAGAAAAAGCATGTTTCTTTTTAAAAGTTTCCAGTTGCATTTTATAAATGCACGTTGAAATAAGGTCTTTTGTTCAGCACAACAGTATGATACAGCATTTTGTAGGGAATGCCAAATAAAATTACTTCTGAGACAAATAAACATGCATGAGTTCTA